TGGGCCCAGCACACAGGGGACCACACCCTCAGCCTGTCTCTTTAGGGAACTGGAGCTGGCTGTATTCCTGAGGGAGGGGGAAACCTGCTCCCTCTGCCTATGTGACTGGCCTCACACACCTGGGTGGGGGCTTACACTCCCTATGGTGCTAAGCAATGTCATCATGACCGGGAGGGGACTAGAGACCCTGCCAGTCTACCTGGCAATCAGTGATGCATTTCAAATTGGTTGGCTGGCAGCCAACAGCTGCTGGCCTTCATTGGATCAGGTAAATGAGGTAATAAGGTCTATATGAGTTAAGGACTGCCCAGGAGGCAGAGCAGGAGCCATGATGAGAACTCTCAGAGAAGCTAGACCATCTGAAACATGCTCTCTCTCTTTAAACTCATGTTCAATGTACTGCTTGGCTCCAGAGGCGATCTCCACCTGCCTCTGGATGATACTTGTGAGTAAGCTACTTGAGATCTAACCAGATATATAGCTTGCAGTAACTCAGATGTGTGATCAAAGGCTACCATGCTACAGTTTGCTCTAAGGTATTTCTCTGATATTGATCTACCTTGTACCCTATTCCAAACCTACTCCTTGTAACCAATAACATTCTCCTCTGTACCTAGTATGGGAGACTTAGTGGGAGAGGGTCTAGATTACACCTTAGGCCCCACCCTGGTTCAGCTAACTAAGGGAGACCACCATTTGTGCTTCAGACTGAGGAAAGCACCCCAAGTTCTTGCAGTGGTTCGAGAACCCCTCAAGGATTACTAGGCCTGTGTTTCCCAGGGGTCAAAGAGCAAAGATCAGTCCAGACTCTGGGTGGTGGCAGTGTTACCCTCCCTCCCTGCCTTGCGGGTGTGCTCCAGGAAGGGGGTTGGCCAGACATGAGGCATCCCCAAGGAGGCACTCAGAGCCTGGAAGGTGGTCAGGCACAGTGAGGTGAGTGGCTCAGTGCAGGAGTCCACCTACAGGCCCACCACACAGCCAAGCTACTCTATAACCTGTAATTACATGGGACAGAAAAATCGGCTTCTTGTTAACATGCCTTATTTTTTCTTAACATATTGCATTGAGAAAATAAAAACTATTGAGAGTGTTTAAGGCAGACTTGTAACTTGTTACATCCTTCAACCTGTGGGCCAGACTGTGCACCTATTATTCATCACACACTTATTAAAGTGAATGGGAGATTTTGCTTCAATGAGAGCTATAAGTTTTGGCCCTTTGTTCAATTATTCTTCCTTCCTTAATTTATAGTTGTTCAATTATAGTTAGGCAGTATATTTTCACACGATTCATTTATCATTGTTTTGAATTTGCTAGGCTCTCTATAACCCAGAAGGAGACAAACATTCTGGTACTGACAAGCACGAATGAGGACCACAAGCTTCACATCACAGCAAATCCGTTCCAGATAGAGCTAGAGTCCAAGGATGAGACCATACTGAGCATGAATTCCAGTGGCCTGTTGTACTTCGAGCATCTGCAGCCACCACCCAAAAATAGGTGTGAGAGCTTCACATTTCACAGTGGGCATTGGCTGTGGCAGAGCTAAAGGCAACCATTAGAAATTCAAATCTGCAAAAATTCTCCAAGATCTGTAAGGCTGCTTTATCTGACATGCACTGGTAAAATTGTGTGGCTCTGACATCCAGAAGAATATCTGTACTAAAACTAAGGCAGAGATTCAGCCCTGACTTACTCTCTCATCCTGTCCTTTCTTTCTGCATGAAAGCTTAAAAATAATGTGATCTCTTTTGGCAAATATTTTAGCGAAGTGAGGGAGACCCTACGTTTTCATTTTCTTCAAACTTTAATTAAAGGATTCTGGAGCAGTCGAAAGGCCATTTGAAGCCATCATTCTGTCCCTTTTACTCCATTTAAGGTTCAGTTCTGTAAGATGCTGAGTACCCTTAGGTCCCCTTGACCTTAATGGCATTACTTCGATAAGGTGCTCAGTTTCATCCACCTTCTCATAATAGTTGAACTGGTTTCTTATGAAGGTGTCACTCATCATAAAATCACAACAGTTAGCAATTTAACCCCATTGCAATATTGGAAGAGTTAGGGGCTATAAGAAAGAGGCAACAGGAGTGTAGGGGCATTCTGCAGGGCTGGGAAAGCCTCATCCTGGGAAAAGAATTACTTAAAATTTGTTATAATTGGCAACAATCCCTCTGCAAACAGAATACATAGAAATATCCAGTCTGAAGATCTCTTGTTTGGAGCCAAGGAGAAGAGAATGCTGATATTATTAGAACTAATGGTAGAAACCCAAGGGGACAGAATAATCCTAGCTAGCTGAGTTTGGTAAGACATTAAATACTAAAAACACTTGCCAATTAGGAATCTCAAGAGAGGCAATTAATTTGTAGAAATGTCAAATGCAAAATAGTTCTACTATACTGTAGAGCCTGTGCAGACAGTTCTTAGCATTGTGTCTGGAATCTTCTCATTGATTATTTCTATTAATTTGTTTTTGTTAGCAAAACTGCAGCAGAAAACAAGGAGGATGGATCAGCTGGCTCTGCTAAGGTAGCCTCTATTCAATTTATTATTCTGGCATTGGTATGCTGTGGGAAGAATAATTCATAGTTACTAGCATGGGTTTATGGTATCTTCTAGTGCAGTGCTTTCAGATCTCTGAACTGATGGCCATGCTCCCAATTTACCAGGAGCCTAAAGCAGATTGTAACCCAGGTCCCAAAACGCAGTCCCCTTGGTCTCTGTTCAGATCTCAGTGGAGCAATGTATGCTGAGTTGCAAAGGCCACACTACCACATTAGATATCATTTTGCAGAACTGTCTTTAAAAAGAATCTCAAACCTGGGAGTGGATAAAGATACTTCCCTGTTTTTTCAGAAGCCTCTTTCATTACAAGAGTTTAATTACAGCCTCCCTTACAGGGGGCATTTATACACGTACTCTGCAATGAACTCTTGATTAAAGCGCCTGAAGTATCACATATAACAGCATCCTCACACTGAAAAATGGCAGTGGGGGTGCTTTAACTAAAGCTCATCATACACGTGATGCTGGAGTCTGCTGGAGTGCGGTAATTACCACACTCCAGCAGACTCAGTTAATTGAGTCTGCTCCGACGTGCTGTAATTATAGAATGCTGGAGCAGCCTTAATGCATGTGTATAGGAGGCCCCTGTAAGCATTTGGCTGTTTTACTTCACCATGTTTTCACATTTCACAAGAGTGAAGCTAAAGAGAAAGTTTTATTTCTCACCTAGTTTGAACAACTTCAATTTCAGCAGTAGATTTGCCCTGTAAGAGTCCTCCTGGGAGTGTCAGAATGGGTGCAGGAAGGCCAGTACATTTGCTGGAAGAGTGCAAAAGAAAACTTGAAAAGATACTGCAAAAAATAAATAAATCCAAAGAAAACTGAGTAGAAGGCCACAGGGCTCAAGAGCTGAGCAAGACCAAAAGGTAATCATTGCATACACACAAGATTCCTGTAGTGGTTAGATATTTTGGGCAGCCTGTCCATTGCCTTGCTTGACCTGGTAGTTCTGGATTACATACATGAAAACAGGTTTTGTAAATATGGACTGATGCATTTTCAAGCTCTCTGTGTAGACTTTAAGTTTACACAGAGAGCTTGAAAACACATCAGTCCCTATATCTCTGCCTCAAAAATCATTCTATATTTCTTATTTTTGTTGTTTTACTAGACAAAGCACTAGAGAGAACTTTAGTTTGGGGGGAATGTCAGATAAAATTAAGTTGTAGTAAAGATTAGATTTTGTACCAAAACAAAGAAGAGAGCAGGTTTCATATAGCGCTTCACTTTTGCCAAGGTTCTGTGTTGTAGCAGACCACAGTAGTGTTGTATTGAAAAACATCCATTCTCCAGAGTAGCATACCTGGCCAAACCTGAAGTATTATTTTGTCCAGGTACCAGTTATATTCTGCATCAAATCAGGTAAATAGAGTAACGTCTCTCAAGACAATACTTGTTCATTGCTTATAAATTAAATGTACTCTAAACATCCACAGTGTCTGTAGGCTAAATAATAATATTTTTGTACATCTAGGAAAATCAAGAAGATCTGGGTCTCTGGCAAGAGGAATTTGGCAGTTTTTTGGACATCAAAGCCAGTGGTAAGACTAAGTGCAATACAATATTGAAAGCGTCTTTACTGATTTGCATATATCTGTGCTTATTCATATTTCTGTCTTTTTCTTTGGTTACTTGTATTTTAGCAGTCTCTCTTCTGTTTACCTATCAGTTTCTATGCCAGGTAACAAATTTGATTGAAGCATTGTTATTGTCTGTGTATATTTCTATTCAGAAATAATATATAAAAATAAAGCATTTTGCCACTCTTGCATCTCCCAGGAGTGATTCCACTATATAGGAAGATGCATGATCTACACACATTGGCTGAATTCATGCAATCAGTTAACTTTTTTACACCGGCATACTTGTTTGTAGGATTCATCAAATCATAATGTCAAAGAGTTAAAGATTATTCCAGTTTTAGGGAAGGGGAGGAGTGATAAAGGGAAAACTAGAAGGATAAAAATAATAATTGATGGAATATGGAAACCTCTAGGGTTACAGTATAAATCTGGTCAAATTCGCAATAGCCAAAACTCATCTGTTGTCTCTTTGGTTACTGAAATTAATGGGTTAACTCAATACCTTTGTTGGTCAAGTCTTCACATGGCATACATATTTATCACATAAGCATGGCAGACTCAGTAAAGAAGTTAAGAGCTCAGTGAGGCTGAACACTGAATTGGCCCTCCCACTTCTAGAGTTGCTTCCTCCATTTCACAGCTGAGGCATATGTGTAAGGCAGTAAGAGGAAGTTCCCACTCCCATCTGCCTAGGCCATGCTTGTTTTATAGATAAAAAGAAAACTCCTGTCTTCAGGCTTGCCAACCCAAACCCTTTAACAGGTGTTAGGATCAATGTAAACAAAGCTTTTCAAACCTGTGACTGCAAATCCTGTGTCTTACACTGGGTCAAACATTAAATCTGATGTGAAGAATAATGCATGAGCTGGCACAAAGTACCTGAGACCATGTTTTTGTCACAGCTGCCAAAAAAGCTCATGGATTCCAGGATTTTTGTGGTTTTTGGAAAAACATTCATGACCTGACATCATGAGAAGCCTACATGTGGTCAAACCAGTTTTACTAAAACTCCTAAGAGCTGCCATGTTGACCCTCAGGAGAAGGTCTAGGTGTATGTCTACAGTGCAAAAAAAAAGTTATGTTTTTAGTTTGGGTTGCCTAATCCTAGTTCATCTCAAAATAGCAATGAAAACATGGCAACACTGTGTTTAACTCATTGTTGGCAACTTCAGTTTAAGCATAAAAAAGAGTTTAGGTCCAAATTTAAGGTGGTAATCCGAGTTAAAAACAGAGTGTCCCTGTCTTCACTAAAAGTTTAGTCTCGATTGGTTAATTCTGTCTAGTAAACTGGTATTATAAACACACCTTTCCTTCCAGTACCCATACCCTAAAAGAAGCCAAAAACCCTCACAGTAAAGGATGATAGGTTGTCCTGAGCAAGAATTTTGGACTCTGAAATTCCTATGGTAATAAAACCCATACAAGTCAAATTCTAATTGTAGATTCACAGCAGCAATCTGGAGCATCTTCACTGACCTAATTAAGGTTGCCCTGGATTTACAAGAATGTAACAGTGACAGAGGTGCCTGCTCAATGCTGCATCCCTTGATGAGGTTGATGTAGGACAAACAGTGCTAAAAAAAGGGAGGACTGGGATTGTTACACACACAGTGCACTGCCTCACAACCTTGGGCCATTTTCAACTACAAATGTATTCTTCTTATTCAGTTTTTATAACCATATCATAATATTAAAAAAAAAAAAATCACCTTGTCACAGCACTAACCCCCATTATTTTCCCCCTACATTAAGAATTAATAATGGATGTGAACCTGAAATAACATATGAAGCAATTACTATTCAAGGTATATTTTTAAATGAGTGCATTCTGATCTATTAGTTCACACTAGGCCTAAATGAGAGCAAAGCTCAGTGCTGTTTTGTCTTATTACTGTTTCTACAGGTCCTAGTTCTGTAGGTTTGGATTTTTCTTTGCATGGATTTGAACATATTTATGGAATACCAGAGCATGCAGAAACACTTCTCCTTAAAAACACCAGGTAAAAAGAGAAACAGATTTGGTTCCAGAGAGGGCCATAATTCTGATGTTTGGGAGTAATTAGGAAGGACAGTGTACCTGATGCTTGAAAATCCAGTTGGAATAATAGCACTGGTTGTTGTTCTTCTGTCACCTATGAAAGTTCAGATATGCACAGTAGTTTAACAGAGTACATGTGATGTCTTGTTAGGATGGCCACTGAAAGCCATAATGGCTGCATCATTCACTAGTGAACTGTAAGGAAATTCAAGAGTGAATGATAGTATAGTAACTGAAAACCTATTTTACTATGAGAGAACAGTGCTATAACACTTTCCAAGTGATTTAATGCAACATAAGGGTTGAGATGCACATGCCATAGGTGTCATACCATGTAGTTTCTTTTTATTGTAGAGGCACATGAAATCATGGCTTCTATCCCTAGCAGGGAGACTTTTCTGCCTCCAGTTCTGCACACCTCTGCACTCCCCTCAGTGGTCTCCATTAGGTTTCCTAACAGCCTTATGGAGCAGTTCTGCATAAGTATTTACCATTTTTAAATAGAATATACTTAATCAACTTTCTTTAAAAAAGGTAATGTTGTGAGGATAAGGTCAGAGTAACAACAGTCTCATTGGCTGCAAAAGCTGTAATTTTATAGTTAGCTGTTTATTTTGCTTTGATCACAATAATCCCTGCCAGCTCCATTTTGGGCCAATTGATAAATGATAGGTCTTAACAAAAGATGTATCCTATTAGTTCCTGCTGTAACTCAGTGGACTTACAGCAGCCAGACTTGATCCAGTTGGGATGATTACGAGCAATGTGCACGTTTGTTTGTTGCAGTGATGATGATGCCTACCGGCTTTATAACTTGGATATCTACGGGCACGAGATCCATGACAAAATTGGCATTTATGGGTCAGTGCCCTTTCTCTTAGCACACAAGCCTAACAGAACTTTGGGGATCTTCTGGCTGAATTCCTCAGAAACTCTGGTGGAAATTAGTACGAAAGCTGTGATGGAGGTGAGAGGTACACAGGGATCCTGCTCAAGAGTCAAAAATAAATTAAGTTATTTCTGAGTCAAATTGATGATGATCTGACATCGTAACCTCCTGTGAATCAGAAATTGCAATTCTCCTCTTTCTATCTCCCCATCCCCACATTTATTTTGTGGAGTTTTGAAATGATTACAAGGATGGATTTTTTCATTACCATGCCTCTTGTTATCCTTTTTTTCTTTCATATAATGATGTGAATATGACTATCTACTGTTTAATGGAAGGTTGTACTGAGAGTATGTAATAAACTTCAAGTATGTCCATCTGAGGCATGCTGAATGTTTTAATAATACAATCTTTAGTCCTCTGATCTGTTCTTTATTATTCAATAATGAATAGGAAGGTCTTCAGATTCTCTTGTTCCTTTCAAAGCATATACCATCCAGATCCCCTCCAGAAACCACTAAGCAGAGAGTGGTGCCTCAAACTGATGTGCGCTGGATGTCAGAAAGTGGAATAATTGATGTTTTTCTGCTGATGGGACCCACCGCTTTTGATATCTTCAAGCAGTATGCACAGCTGACAGGTACAATGTTGTCTTAGAGAAGAAACAGCATTGTATTTTCACCAGAAGGGCAGATACAGAGGGGATACAGTGGCATGGCTGCACCCCTTTTTTAACTGAATTATGCCATAAGAACCTCTCGGGGGCTTTTTTCAATTCCCCCCACTCCCCTCTGTGCTCAAAGGCACACCGCTTGACCTCCCTTTCTCTTCCTTTCCCTGTACTCTCCCTCCCTCCCCTGCCTGCTCCTGCTGTTTACCCCACTGTCTCAGGGCACAGGGGCAGGGAGAGAAGGGAAAACTTCAAAGGTATTCCTGCCCTTGGGTCCCCTGGAAACAGGTGTGGGGGAGGGGAAGCCACCCTTCCACCCATACTCACTGCTGCAGGTGTGGTTATTTCTAGCTGAACCAAGTTGCTGCGCAGCCCAACTGGAGTGAGCAGGAGTAGCTTTGAAGCTTCCCCCATACCTGGGATAGTCGGGGCAGGGAGTGGAGGTCTGTGCCTTTGAGCACAAAGGGGAGCGGTGGAAATTTTTGCATGCTTTGGGGGCTTCAGAAAAAGTCCCCAGAGGCTCCTGCAGCACAAGCTGCCTGCACTAGTGGGTGTCATGAAGGAGGCTGGGAGTAGAGGTTGCAACCATCCCCACATCATAGCTGGCTGCTCCTGCACACCACTTTGCCAAATCCTAGATCCATTCCAGTCCACCAGTGAACTTCCCTTCTACCACTTAAATTATGTGCAAATGTACATTTGCTACATCTAAAAGTGGATTAGTATTTAATACTTAACTAACCCCAAACCACTGTCATTCCCAAAAATATGGTTCACAGGGTCCTGACTGTGGAAAGCTGGTCTGCACCCCAGCTGCTTCTACAGGTACCAATGTTAGGCCTCATAATGTAGTGATAGATCTCTATTCAAGCTAGCTTGGATGCCAGAAGCAGTATAGCCACAGTACTGCAGCACTTTTCCTAAGCTAATTTACATTCTCAGCAAGGCTAATGAGGCAGAGCCAAGCATCATGCTAAAAGACTTACACTGCTTCCATGCGTGGTGTTGCCATATAGACATACCCTAAAAGTAATTGGAATTGTAAAGCTAGTTTAGCTGTTGCTACTTGGAGCTACCAGTCACCAAAGGAACAAGGATGTCTGGAGGAGAAAGAATGAACTGAGTTGTGTGTCCAAGGGAATGGAAGGAGGAGGAGGACACATAGCTGGTCAATGTATCCAATCAAAGAAGGGACTGATGTGGAAGGGAAGTGTATGCTAAAGGAGGAGGAGAAAGAAAATAGGTTGGAGATGTCTATGATAAGGGGCAGGGAAGAGAAGAAAGCAGGGAAGGAAGAGCACAAATGGAGACAATGTGACTAATGTTCCAAAAAAGGACAAATGTCATATTGCATTGAAGAGAGTTAAAAGCAAGACTATAAGTCCTAATATTACTTTTCCATGTAATAATCCTCTGAGTCATGAAAAGGAGAACAGCTATTCACAAGAGATTCTGCCTAAGCTGGAGCCCACCCTTTGCAGTGATTTTGGACTGCAAAGTTCTGCTGGTATGCAATAAATGCAGAAGTGTTTTTAGTAAATTAAAAAAAAAAAAAAAGGGAGAGTTCAGTCACTTTTGACCCTGTGATCTTTTGTCTCCAGGGACTAGTTTTATTTTCCATTTCTAAATAAATATTAGTTTCTATTTAAATTCAGATGCTGCAAGAAGGGAATTACAGGTCATTCTTGAGGTAAATTAACAGGAGGTTACTGGGTCTGTCTCCACTAAATTTGGTTTATTGAGTTATTCATGTCAATGAAAATTAAATTCACCAACAATATTTTTTAAAATGTAGACAGATTTTAGAACTCAAAATAACAATAGTCACCATAGAAATATTGACTGTTACCATCAGGATAATAACAGTAGCTTTTTTCTCAACATCCTATAATCTTCTAATTACAACAGCTTCTGCTGCCTCTGCTATTTTGAAGCCTGTCATAATATTTGCTCTGAGCTTAGTGTCTGGGGCAAATAACTCAGGTGTAAAATATAATCTGGACTAATAATTAGGCAAGGACAGGGCTGGATACAGAGGATTGTAATGGTGCAGTGGTACTCTATCCCTTTTTTATTTGTTCCACCCAAATTTTAAAACCAACTGCCTGGGAGGGGCAGTGCCATTTCTATTCAGGCAGTGCTAAGAGTAAATTGCCTTCATGATGCTTTATAATCTACCTGATTCCTTCTGGTTGCTCTTCACTCCACAGATGTTAATGACCCTCTCTCCTTTTTAATGGTCTTGAAGTTCCATTAATCAAGCTATCCTTTCTTCTGCAATGTTGCTGTCTGGTAGAAAAGTGAGATTACCAGAAATGGCTATTTCACAACCCTGACAACTGTCTTTAGTTCTAGCTAAAAAGTTGAATTCAGGTGTGGTAATTTTAATTTGGGTGTGAAAATGAATAATTGAAGTACTGGGTGCTCAAGAAGGCTAGATGTTGTATTATGAATCTGAATAAAAGATATACATTTAACTATTGTGACTCCAGTGAAACAATCTGTTTTGACTATTTTTGCCCCATTTGTTGTATTTTTTAAATTTAATATAATCTAGCAAAGTAGTGCATATTCCAAATAAAGTTGTATTTAGTTTTGCTTTGATCTTAAACTGAATAGTAGTCCTGGGCCCCTAACATATTAGTAAATTTTGTTTCTTTTAACTGAAGAAAAATATAGGTTGTCTTGATGCATCACACCATCTGCATCCCTATTTTCAAAATCCTAGATCCACCCATAGGCAAGGACCATCACTCCTCATCTTCAAATAGCTGCCTACAGGTCTAGCCATGCCATGCCCATTGACTTTTCAAAGACTCTAAGTAAAACCCTGAAAGGCAATAACAACATTGTGTCTAATAGCTTAGGTTCTAATTTCATATCTCCTCCTAGGCACTCAAGCTCTGCCTCCATTCTTTTCCCTGGGCTACCACCAGTGCCGCTGGAACTATGAGGATGAGCAGGATGTGAAGTCAGTAGATGCCGGCTTTGATCAGCATGACATTCCCTATGATGTTATGTGGCTAGACATAGAGCACACAGAGGGTAAAAGATACTTCACCTGGGACAAGAAAAGATTCCGAAACCCCAGAAGGATGCAAGAGTTACTCAGAAAGAACAAACGCAAGGTAAATTATACAGAAAGAAGAAAGAAAATGTATATGTAAGATTACTTCATAATCTAGGCCATAGAGTCTTGACCAAGTGCATCACATTCCACATCCCTGACAGTGTTAAGCAGGGAGGTGAAAACCAAGGGCTGGGCTCCCTCCCACCAGTCTCTGCCCATCTTGGGGCACTGGGCTCCCTCTCACCCTATCTCTAGTCTTTCTTCTGCCCTGCTCCCAGAGCAGTTACCCTCTCTTCCCTGTTCTCAGGATCTGCCCTACTCCCAGGACTTCTGAGATCCCCAGCCTGCCTCACTAGTCCCAGTACCAAACCGCCGTTGTTCTCCAGGCAAGTCCACAATATTCTACTTGCCTGCCCTGCTCCTGGGCTCAAGTGTATCCCTGGTGTGAATCAGGATCTCCTCTGCAGCCCTCTTGTTCAAGAGTTCTTCCTTCCACCACCTCCAGGACCAGTCTGCTGCCCCAGCTCAGGCCCTGGGCTTTATATATTCTCCAAGCCCAGCCCCACTTCCCGTCAGGCATCTTCCTTTGAGTACCACCTGAGCCCTGTCTGCAGCCTTTCTCCTCTTGAAGTAACAGGAGGACTAAGCTCCCCGTTACACCAGAATGATAACTTGTTAGTAGCAGTTGCAGTGTTTGCTGGGGAGGGAGAGCTCTCTTTCAGTCTGTTCCCCTGCTTTTGCTTTTGGCAGGTGTTTTTGTCTGGCTGCCTTCAAACTGGCAATAGCCACTGATGTGCTTAATATAAATGTCCCGTAAATCACACCTGATCCCACCCAAAAGCCAATTATTGAGTGAATTGTTGGAAAAGTCCTTAAACTGTGCATTTTTTAAATTAAGTTACACAATAGTTGGTCTCCTATCAGTGGAATCTGTGGCAGCAAGAGGTAACTATGGAAAATAAAATTTTGGCTGAATTTGAGAGAGTCTAGAAAATTTGATATTTGCTATATGCTTTGTACTATATTTATCTGAATCTAAGAGGACTTTGAATTCAAGAGGACCCCCACCAAATTAGATGCTATACATGCGTGACAGGAGGCCATCTCGGGGTCAGGTCTCAACATCGGCCCACCCACCTGTCTAGGGCAGTCTGCCCTGTCTTTCCTGCCATGACTTGTTGTATAAATATCTGGTGTAAAAATGCAGGAAGCTGCCCATTAAATGCCCCACTGCCTAGAGCGTTACATATGGCTCTGACCACCCCTATGCCATGTTCCATGCCTCACAGATGGCATCCAAAGTTCTTAACCTCTGACCCAAAACTTGGCCTCACAACATCTGAGGACTTACTGGGGTCCAACTGCGGTCTCAGACATCTGTAGACTTACCTTGGCCATACTGCCCCCTCCCTGGGACATCAATTTACACCCTCATACTAGGGCCTCCCACTTATGCCCTCTCACTAGGGCCTCCCACTCATACTGACACTCTTGTGGGGCTGGCCTATATGCAGCCCTTCAGGTTGCCCCTACAGCCCTACTCTGCACACCCCTGGTGCAGCCCTTCAGGCTCACCTCAGCAGACCCTACTCTGCACCCCTCATGCACATGAGGCATGGCTTCAGGCCACCACCACAAACCCTACTCTGTGCAGGCCTCTACACATACTTCTGGCCCCTCACTGGGGCCACACTACTACCCCCCCTCACTGGGGCCACCAGGGTCTTACACTCCATGGGGCTCAGGTGCCTCTCTGTAGGCATGCCTGGCCCCCGTGCATGTCTCTACATCTGGGTTACCCACCAGATTGTGGGGGATGGGGCTATAAGGCACCTCTTACTCACCTTTCACTAGAGAGGCAATTGGTGTGGCATTTCCTGGGCAGGCAGACACACCATGCCATCCTACTCTAGCAGGATGTAGTTTTATGTTATTCCCCAGGACCAGGAGCCTCCTGCCATCCCCATAGCTCCTGCCCTTACCTCCAAGATGTTGTGAGCAGCAGCTCTAGCCAGATGATGATCCCCTTAGGGCTGCAGCCAGCAAACTGCTGGCTCTCCTGCTCAGGCCTATTCTTATAGGCCTGAGCAGGGGAGCCAGCAGCTGAGCCCTCTTCCCCAATCAGGCAGTCCCCTGCCAACCATGTGACTCCTGATTGGGGAATACTGCCGCCTGCAGGCTGCTCTGCTGCTTGGTCTTAGCCCTTAAAGTGGCAGGCACTAAAGGTGCTCTGCCACAATATGGAAAATTATAAGACATTTCTTATAATATTCCATGTATATGAATCTAATTATTGGAGCATTCTCTTAAATGTGTCCCCTCCACTGCTGCAGCATGGAAAGCAGCAACAGCAAGGGGGCAAGCAGTTGGGAGGTGAGTGGCAGGCAATCTGACCCCAGCCGCTTGCCCTCCTAGCACCTTGGTCTCCTGCTACTTGCTACCCTCACCCCATGTCTGGCCCCCATCCCATGACTTCCCTCATGGTATCTGCTCCCCCCTGTGTCTTCCCCCCAGCCACTTGACCCCCCTGCTACCTGTCCCCCACCCACTACTTACTCCCACCTTCCCCAGCATCACATGCTGTGCTTGTGTTGAATCCTTCCCCACCCTCTGGCTGCATGCTGGATCAGCTGCACACTGGGTTTGTGCTGCTCCCTGGCTCATCACTACTTTCCTCACTAGTCCCTAGATCAGCACAGAGCCAGGGGGTAATCCAGGACCCAGTGGGGATCCAGAGAGCAGTGAGAAAATGAGCACAGAGCCAAAGAGTGGTGAGTCAAACAGCATGGATCCAGAGAGCAGTACAGGACCCAATGCTGGTTCCCTTACTTCTCTCCAGTGGGGTCCTGCTGAGTCAGGGAGCAGCAGGAGCCAGTGCAGAGCCAGGGAGGGAGTGAAAATTGGTGTGGAGCCAGAGATTAGCACAGGATACAGTGCAGCCTGCACTTTCACTTAGTATTCAATTAAAAGACAAGGCTTCATTTCCCACCATGTTTAATGGGGGAAAATACGTCATCTTGGAATCAGGTAAATATGGCATATTAAGAAATATTTACATTTCTTTGTTTCATCACAGATGTCAGACATTTGTTTACTGCCCCGTGTATACAATCAGGGGCATTTTTTCAGTTGAAAAGGTTGCTTTTGTCTGAAAAGTAGTGTTTCACATAAAGAAGCAAATTTCTACTATGGCCTTAAAAAAGCAGTTATTTTATGTGTATGTGGAACTGTATTCACAAGATCAATAACTGCTTTTTTAAATATGTGACCGTGCCTATTCTTGTCCCTAAATGAAAACTGAGCTCTGACTATTATGCTGTATTATTAATGCTAATGGTATCTTCTGCTTTCTGATCCTGGCAGCTTGTTGTCATTATAGATCCCCACATTAAGATTGATCCTGCATACACCATCTACTCTCAGGGCAAAAGCAAGGACTATTTCGTGAAAGACAGGAATGGGAAAGACTTTGAGGGTGTCTGTTGGCCAGGTAAGAAAACCATTTGCTTATATTTTAAAATTAAATATGTTAATTTTAAAATTAAATATGTTAATTTTAAAGTGTATGCCAGAATAAAATGAATGAGCCAAAAGTGGGTACCCAGCTGGATAGACCTTACATTTCACAAGTAAAATATACTTGTGACAATCTTATGCTCATAATTCCAGGTTTTTTGACACTTCTAATATGCTTCTTAATCTTTCCAGGGCTGTGCTCTGAGGTATCCATGGTAACAAAATGCAACTCAGTCTGTTATATTAAATTATTTTATTTTAGAAACTCAGATGTTGCAGGCTGACGGACTGGTACAATGAGAGTTGTTAAAACAACTGTAATAAAAGGGCCTCAAGATTCGTGGTAAATTCACTCAAGGTTTTAATAGTAATAATAATAATCCCTCACTCTCATGTAGCACTTCTTACCAGTAGATCTTAAACTTCATATAGAGAAGGTAAAAATCATTGCCTCCGTTTCTCAGAAGAGAAGCAGAGGGAGAAGGAAATTAAGTACCTTGTCCAACATCATCTAGCAGAGCTGAGAATAGAATCCAGCTCTCTGGAGTCCCAATCCAGTGCATTATATCATGGGCCACACTGCCTACTGATGAACACTGTGCTGAAATAGAAGCACATGTTTATAGCTGAAGTCAAACACATGTGATCATTTCAATGGGAAGAGGTGCTACTCTTTTTCAAAGGTGATTATGACACTGGTAGTAAGCCACTAATAATGTGGTATAAAGCCCCAGCCCATACCCTGATGTTTAATTTTGTACGCATGAATAAAGTTTTTTATTAAAATCTTATTCCTTCTTGGGTCCACGACAGCCACCTGCACAAAGCAGGGCTACATGCTTCAGGCATTGTGGCCATTGAGAAACCTGCATGCCTTGCATCTTTTAAAACTATGCAGGGAGAGACACCTTAATGGTATAAGGAAACAACAAGAGAAGGATACTTGCAGTAGTAGTCAGAAGAGCAAAACTGGAAAAAATGTTAAATCAAAGTGGAGGGAAAAAAGGCTGAAGAAGAAAATGGGAGGAAAAAATTAAAATAAAGAGAAAAATCATGGTGAGATGGGAGTTAATGGCATCAGGGCATCATTAAGGGCAACAGGTCCTATATTTATATTTTAAAATAACCACCTTATTCTAAGAAGCAAAACTTTTGACTATGTTGCTTGTCTTAAAACTCTAGTTCCATGCTGGGCAACCTAAAAATGAAAAAGTCAAGGCGTTATATAACGTGGTGGGACTTTAAGTATATAGGTGTGTTTTGCTGCATTTTTGACTAAATTTCCATTATTTTTGACTTGCTAGAATGTGGAGTGTAAAGGGAAAGCTTCTGTAAACAAGGAAATATCTGGGGATCCTCAACCAGGACATAAAGTGACACCAAATTTGCACACAAAGTTTCATCCCTGTGATTCTACACTTATAGGCAATTAACTCAATATTATCACTCCAGATCACATGTGCGTACCATAATACAGCCACCAACCTTCTGCGTGGCACTAGTCATTCTCTGTGTCTACAACAGCAGTCACAACGCTAAAGAAACAGATCCAGCTGACCCACTTATGGTCCACATTCATCAACCATGGAAATCCGGCGGTAGAGATGTACAAAGAGGCACCCTTGGTTTCCATTATGCTCAAGAGTACTCTGCTGCTGTGTTGTAGATATTGCTTATGAGCTCATAACACCAAACTTCTGTTAATTCACTGCCTTCCAGTTCACTCCTGGGTATAGCTCAGTGTGCTGGAAGGTCCTTCAAATAGTGTGGAACTGAGTCCAACAGAAGCCAAAACTTGATGGTCTTCAGAGCACAAAATAAAGTGTATTTTTCAATTGAGTTTTCTTTTCACTTTGCTTTGATCTTTATTCTTAGCATTTTCTATTATATATCATGCAACACTACAGCAACGGCAGGTTTATTGGTGCTGAAAGGCAGCATACCTGCACGTTACAATACTCACACATGAAAGCAGTAAGCACTGTAGAAGTTAACAAAATAAGACTAATGCTCCATACTTGCAGGTTCCTCTTGTTACCTGGATTTTACCAATCCTGAAGTCCGAGAGTGGTATGCAGATCTGTTTGCCTTCCAAACATATAAGGTTTGTGTTTTTTTTCTTTTATAATCCTACATAGTACATAAAAAGCCTGAAAACAGAAAAGAAAAGCAGGTAGATAAGATAAGATAAAATACTGGATAAATAAGTTAGTAAGGTTTCATATTTGTAGACTACTACTAAACTGTAAAGGCAAATATCCAGAATGTAGCAATAAACCCATAAACTGCAAAAGAATCTTCACTGCGGCTTGCTTCCACTAGGAAAATCAGGACTCACCACTGAAGCAATGGTGGTAGCAACAGTGTAGACTGGTGATGGGAAAAGTGCAGCCTGTGAGCTAGATTGGGCCTGCAGTGGACTCCATTTCTGAGCAGCCCCTGCCCATGTCGCTGTGGTCAGTGTCCATGGAGACCCCAGGAGCAGCAGCACTGTGACAGTGTGGGGCCATGTTTCCGTGGAGACCAGCCCCAGCAGGCAGCTGGGCAGGGAGCCGCTCTGGGGCTAGGATTTTGTGGCAGTGATAGCATGGTCCAGAGCTGGGCAGAGCTTCGATCCGCTGCCTGCGTGCCTCGGGCAGGGACATGCAGGCAACAGATTGCAGCTCTGTCCCATCTCTGAACACGCTGTCACTGCTGCAAGATCCCAGCCCCAGCCCAGCCAGAGCAGCTCCACACCCAGCTGTACACCCTGCCAGCACTATTGGGGCCGGACTCCATGGAAACCCTGGCCCCACAATTTCATGGTGCCACCACTGCTGGGGTCCCTAAACTAACCTGGACAGATTCCTATTCAGCGTCTTCCTGAAAACTGCAATGAAACAGATTTCACTTCAGTTAGGGAGTGAATTTCTGCTGCAGTTGAAAACCATTACCTTATATCCTGCCCTCTGTTGTAAGGGAAAATGATCTTTTCTCCCTCTTCTTTATGGAAGCTTTTCAAGTACTGTGTCTAAAAACTGCTATAACACCCTCTTCTCCTTGAATGCCTTTTCTCCTTGAAAGTCCTTCAAGCATTTCTCATGCTCCTTGTATTCTAATCCCCTTTGCATCTTCATTGCTCACCCCTACATCCTCCCCAGATTCTTTGCACACACCTTAAAATACAGCACCCAAAACTGGATACAGTATTCTAGCCAAGACCTAACCAGTGCCACCCCTCTTGTCTGGCACACAATGCCGAAAATAGCATTTCCTTTTATTGCAACAGCATCACATTACTGACTCACGTTGAACTTGTGACCCACTATAACTACAGATCCGCCTCGGCAGTGATCCTATCCCCCATTCTTTGTTTATGCATGCATTTTTCTTCCCTTTGTATAACACCCTTTCTTGTCTTTAGCCCAGTTGTCCAATTTCTCAAGAACCTTTTGAATTTCAGTCTTGTCCTTTACAGTATTTGCAGCCTCTCCAGGTTTTGTCTTGTCTGCAAATAAACAGTATACTCACTATACCTGCATCCAGGGTGAGTCATTTTGCTACCACTTCATCTAGCCTAGTGGTCTTATTGCTAGTTTCTTTCAGTATGAGTCCATGTAGAAAATAATAGGGATCAGCTGTCTTTCGTGGAGCTCACAGTTACTTTCATTGTAGCCTCACCAGGAAGGAATACTTTTATGTGTTAGATCTAGTGCGAGAATCATAGATATTCACACTTCACAGTCCCATCACACCTAGCTTCCTCCAGGCTGAATCCAATGTTATGGCCACTGAACACTGCCAAGCTCCTGCTGTTTTTTTCTTGGAGCCTCACTTAGCAAAGGGCTGGTAAACTCATGCCACTTGTCATCCCTCACTTCGTGTCCCAACACAGCTTTTTCTGCCTCATTTCTTTCTCTCCTTTTCTGCTCTTATGCCCTTGGGTGGTATTTTAAATTTCTCTTTTGATCTATCCTGCTTCTCATCCTCCTTCCCCGTCTCCTTCACCAGAAGACAGTAATAGCAGGCCCATTTTAGTGAGGGTAAGGGGTGGCTGTAATAGGGAGATGAGAAAGCATTTCTCAGCACAGAGCAAGGAGGGCTGGGACAGCAGCAGGCATTTTGGGTGGGGAAGTGGGTTGCTGGCCCAAGAAGCAAACATTACTGGTTACACCTCAGGTGGTGACCCACTGTGCTAGCTATGCTAATTTGGTCCACTGGTCTTAAATATGTTGCCAACCCCTGTGTTAGACAAGTCCAGCACCCACTATATTGAAATAATGACTTAAATATACCCTTAATGCTACACTGTACCCTAGGGTTCTACTGACATCCTCTTTGTCTGGAATGACATGAATGAGCCTTCCGTCTTCAAAGGGGCAGAACTAACCATGCAGAAAGATGCTGTCCACCATGGCGGCTGGGAGCACCGGGAAGTTCACAACCTCTATGGATTTTACCAGGTAGGACATCCAACAGAAAAATCAACTGCTATGAATATTTTTCCTTTGGTGGTAATAAGGATGTTTATAATTTTACTGTAAGAGCTCCTGCAAGGCTCCCATTAGAATTAGGTCCTGTTGTACTAGGCATTGTTTGATTGGAATCAGCTTCTCCATGATACATCACATCTATAATAGCAATGACATCCATTCACCTTTCTGCCACAACAATGTAATAACATTGATGTATGATGTGTGCAATGTTAGCAAGCCCTTTATTTTCCTCTCCTGTAGTGTGTTGCAACAAACCATTTGTACTTTGACAATAGTTACTGTTATTTCTGGACATATGCGTCTTACTGTTCCTGCCTTGAAAGATCTAAAAGGGCAACCTGATATACATAGAATATAATTAAGTCTACCTCCCTATCAGTTATCTTCATGCTTTTTAGCAAATGGCAACTGCAGAAGGACTCATCAAGCGCTCTGGAGGAGAAGAGAGACCTTTTGTCCTCACACGATCTTTCTTTGCTGGATCACAGAAGTATGGTAGGTATGGACAAGCTACATGATGTTGCCAAATATACTGGTAGAGCTGATTTTCTTTTAATGCCTAATTTTGATGGGCCTAGTACTTGGTACCTTGGTATTACTAACCACAGCAATGCATTATCAACATTAAGACAGCTTTGATATGCATCTCCCATATAATTGAGTGGATTTAAAATTTGACTGCTGCCTGATCTTTCATAGCTGGCAAAAATTGAAGGTTGGATAGCAAACCACAGTGTTCCATAACACATACCCACCATCAGTTGCCTATTCCAGTAGTATGCTCACGTCAAATACAAGACCTGAAATGAGTTTGCTAGCTTAGAATCCTCCTCTTCCTCCTTTCTTAGTCAGACCTGTTCATTGACTTATGAGCCTGAACTCAGTATGTAAATTTAAAGCAATGCTATTGGGATTTCCAGGAGCAGTATGGACAGGGGACAACACAGCAGATTGGAGTTACTTGAAAATCTCCATTCCAATGTTGCTCACACTCAGCATGGTAGGAATTTCATTCTGTGGAGGTAAGGTGTTTATTCTGAACTTTTCACCAACAGTAGACCATCAGCTGTATTAAGCTTGCATTCTGAGGCAGATTTAAACACAGATAATGAAAAGCTAGTGTTTGAGCCCCAAAACAGCCCTCTTTCCTCTTACAGTCCAATGTATTTCAAAGCAGTTTTATATATTTAGGTTAATTACAGCTCCAAGTCCCATCCTGAACTGCAAACCTCAAGCTGTCATCTGTTAGTAGCACTATAATTTAATCTTGTGTCCAGAAGAAAGACTTACCACATCTCTCAAAGCAAACAAACCACTTCATCAATAGTTGGATGTTACAGTTTTTTAATTTATTTTTTTTACTTCTGTGAGATCAGGCTGGTACTTTTCAGCAGGGTAGCAGGTCCATATTCAGCTAACGTATTTAAGCATTTGGCATGTTTGTAATGGAATTCCACATTTTACAGAAACCTTTCCAAAAACTCATTGTCTGTCTCTCTAAAATCTAGCTGATGTGGGTGGGTTTATTGGAAATCCAGAACCAGAACTACTCGTTCGCTGGTATCAGGCTGGAGCATACCAGCCTTTCTTCAGAGGCCATGCCAGCCTGAACAGCAAACGGCGTGAGCCATGGCTGTTTGGAGAGAAGAATACACAGATCATCAGGGAAGCCATCAGAGAGCGGTACAGCCTTCTTCCCTACTTGTATACACTGTTCTACCGGACACATGCTGAGGCTGAACCAGTTATGAGGTAAGATCATAATGGACTAAACCAAAATGAAATCTCTTGTTCTTTAAAGAAAGAATCCTTCTTCCAAGTCAGGAAGTTTAATGGTTATGGCAAGAAGGATGCATTGGAAGAAGAGTTAAATTACCATCACTTACTTTCATAATTGACATATATGATTTTTTTAAAGCAAAGAAATGTTCACTTCCTAAAAGAGAAAGATTCAATAAATCAATTTACTAAAATTCAAAAAGAATATTATCCCCTATTCTGATTCATATCTAAATATTACTAATAGACCCCTAAGCTGCTGACCTGAAAGTGCTAATATCAGTATTTTTTCTCTGTTTTAATGCTTTTTGTTCATTTGGAGGAATAGGCTACCAGGTTACTTTTATCAGAATTAATTTTGCATAGATAATTCAAAGATGAGGCATAATATGCTGTGCCACACTCCCTACAGCCATTTTTCCTTTAGTAGAATAATACTATGTAGAAATTAGGTCAGGAAGCTAGCTTTGTTTTGTTTTCCAGCCAGTAGAGATCTCAACGGAATGAATCACAGCCATCATTTCAGTGGAAGATAAAATTACTAAACACTCTTGTAGTTTTGTCTTTTACAGATAGCACTGGAATTGCTATCTGCTCCTGTCACGTTTCCTCTCACTAGCTGTGATGCCAGTGCATCACAGATTTTTAGGAAAGATGAGGCCTGGTTTTCAATAGTGTTGAAACCCTGGGATGCACTCAGTTGTGAACCTTATTTGTGCATGTAACTGTACAGATACTTACACATGCTAATGTCCTATTTGTATGCATGGTCACAGTCACTGCATGGGGCCAAACACAAGTTTTAAAAATAGATCAAAACAAAATTACGAATCATAAATTGTGCATACCAGTTTGGGCAGCTCTAGTATGATTGTCTGTCCAGCAAGAGGCTTGAGCAAAAAGTTGAATTAGCCTTGCTTTCTGCTTTTGCAGAGTAGGAGTATAAAAGTACTAGAAGTGCCTTAAGTCTTGTTACACAGCAGAGCTTAACAGGTGACTTAAAAATGGCATTTAAAGGCACACATGGGTTACAAACTTATCAAGTCTTCCTGTGTTGGATATTAGTAGCCACAGCTTTAAAGTCGGGGAAAGGGAGCCTGAGAACTTCAGCTGGGTCACAGAGGACTTCCTGGGAAAGAAGAAACTGAGTAGACCCAACCTTCTTGCTTCCCACAGGCCTCTCTGGGTAGAATTCCCTGAGGAACTAGAAACTTTTGGTGTAGAAGATGAGTACATGCTGGGTAAGTAGTGATTTTTTTTCTCATCAGCTAGTATTTGTTTCAGAGTTAGGCACTTCTGACATTAGCATATTGTAATAGCAAGCAGTTTGAAAACCTTGGCCAAGATTTTTAAGTGAATAGTGATACTGAGTAAGATCTCCAAAAGGGGCTACATTTTTGGAGAGTGAATGAATGCTATGGACTTCCTACACAGAAGTCCTTTAAACAACTCATGTGTGGATGCAAAAAAATGGAGACACCCAAAATTACTTGTCACTCCTGGCCCCCGTTTCCCTGTGGGGCACATGGAAATTAGTTCCATCATCTGAGCACAGAACTAAGAGCAGGAATTCCGGATAAATGTCATCCAACATTAATTGACTGTTGGTCTGATATTCCTGTCCCTAGAAGCCAGTATTTCCAGAGATTATACTTAAAATATGAAGGAGCTAGTCTTGTAGTTGTTGCAACCCCAAAGTCAGTAAATTTTCTAGAAGTGTTCTGATCATGCAGCACAGCACAGACTCCTAAACTGTGCTGTGTTTCCTGTATGTTAACAATGAACTCCCATAAAAAAGTTCCCTCTTTACAAGTGGGGTGAAAGACTGAAAAATATACTAATATGTTTTCCTATTTGAACAAAACCCACTCTCCTATAACTAGAAGCAAGAAAAAAGGCAGCACCATTTGGCAAGCACTTCACTGGAAACTGTGGGACTTGTAGCAGCCTCTTACTAAAATTCTGTAACTAAATTCAAGGGGGTATGAAAGGCTTTTGCTACCTCTGGTATCAACACAGATGAATCACCCTTGTCCATCTTGCTGTAACTCTGAGGCTGGAGATAACTGAAGAAATAATGTTTGTTCCTCTGAATGTGTCACGTTAGATCTTCAGAACTTTTTTGTACTGCTCCCACATCAGTTGCATATGTTGAATACAGCACTGCCCAACCAATATACTCAATATATCTTTCAGGAACAAAGTGTAAATATTTCCAGTGAAGCACACTTTACAGAAGCTTGTGTGCAAAGTGATGCTTTTTTTTTTGTTGATTTGGATTATAGGAAAGTAGGGGGTGGGGTTGGTTTAATAGGAAAAAATTACAGATTCTCCAGTCCCTTACCCTGACAGAGAAGTAACATTTTGGTGGGGGCCCATTGTTAACAGTAAAAATATGCCAAGTTCAGGATTCTGTACTGGTATTGCACTGGCATAACTCTTATGGAAGGGTGGATTTTCAGGTGCTTAAAGGAGCCAGGCATCTGACTTACAGAGCTGAGCATTTGACTTCATTAAGTGATTTTGAAGACCTCATCCAACAACTCAATAGTCTTCATCATTAATATTAGCTCCAGAGTAGTATACTTGGGTAGAGTGTTTTACATAATAACCATGTACAATAATAATATCTAGCTCTTTTATATAATCATTTTCATTGACAGATCTCAAAGTGTTTTACCAAAGAAATTGGTGCTATTAACCCCATTTTACAGATGGGGAAAGTGAGGCATATAGAGGGGAAGCTATTTGCCCAGCATCATCCAGCAAGGTAGCAGAGCCAGGAACAGAATATAATGGGTCTCCTGTGTTCTACTCCATGTCCACCTACCGCCACACTTTCTTTTCTATTTTTTAATTCAGGAAAAGCTTTACTGGTGTACCCAGTCACTGAACAAGCAGCCACTGAAGTGGATGTTTTACTGCCTGGATCAGATGAAGTAAGGATAAGTAAGAACATACAATCTCTGGTATTTAGTTCAAAAGAAATCATTTACCTTCATTTTTCTGCAATCAAACACATCACACAGTAGCAATGACCTATTCATACCTTCTCTTCTCAGAGGTCCTTTTCTCAAAGCCTCTCTTCCCCATTTTTCTGCTTGTCCCACAGCAACCCCTGTGCTTTCTATACTTACCTATTCCAGACTGGTACATAAACCTCCATCCCCTTCCTAATTTAAATCACTTCTCAAGATGCACTCTTTCTGTGACCTCTCTACAAGAAATTAGCTGATGGCATAATCTATTTAATTATTTCATTTATTTTTCCTACAGTTAATTTTTAATTTACTTGGAGGAAAAGATAAAAGAGGGAGATGAAAGGTAATAAAGACACTAGAATCAATGCTGTGGGATTAGCGTCCATAGATTGCTGCACAAGGAAGGTGTATGTTGGTAGACAGATATTTTAGGAGAACTTTGGGAAAATATCTCATTTTTGTGCTATATTTCTGTCACCCTGATCATTGTGTGTGCATGTTATGTCCCATTCTCCCACCCCATCTTCACTGAATACACTTCAAAGTAAGGATTCTCATTTCAGGAACCTAGTAAGTACATGGTACCACATCGGTCAAGATAACAACACAAAGTGCTGCAATGCAGACTGCTGTTCAGTGCCCTATTTAAGAACAGCAAACACCAACACATTTAAGAAAATCAGTACTTCTCTGAAGTGGAAGTTATTTATCCACATGATGGCAGTGCAATATACTCCTACATAAATGACTTGGTTTCAGAAGCAGAAGTTGTTAAGGAGATACTTCATAAAGAGTGTCCTTAAATTCTAGAACATATAACTTAAAGGCCTTTCACTTCACAACACAAAATAAATATATAAATAATAAATGATATTAATGAATTAATGAGAAATAGATCATATGATCATTTTTTTGATGGCGGGGAGGAACCTGGGGGAAACCTAGTAATGCTTAGCCCAAAGCAATTTCCTCATAATGCAAATTTCATAGAATCATAGAAAATTAGGGCTGGAAGGGACCTCAGGAGGTCATCTAGTTCAAACCCCTGCTCAAAGCAGGGCCATCCCCAGCTAGATCATTCCAGCCAGGGCTTGGTTGAGCCAGACTTTAAAAACCTCCCAGGATGGAGATTCCACCACCTCTCTAGGTAAACCATTCCAGTGCTTTGCCACCCTCCTAGTGAAACAGATTTTCCTAATATCTGACCTAAACCTTCCTTGCTGCAACTTGAGACCATTGCTCCTTGTTCTGTTATCTGCCACCACTGAGTACAGTGTAGCTCAAATTTGTGACAGGTGGAACAGTTACATTTTATTACACTATTTATTACAAATTTTTCTCCACTGGGTTTTCATATTTTCGCATAATACACAACACATACTGTAGCTTTATGAATGGCACTGTTACTTAATACCTCTAGCAGCTTCAAGATCTATTAAAATTAATGTAAGTCCTAGAAAAGGTCTTCTCCATGTTTTTTTACTAGATAGTGAGGAATTGGGTCATTGGACCCAACATTAAAAGGTACTTCTTGCATCTCGAGAAAACAGTAAAGGATAGCAAGACCCAGGAATGAAATCACAAGACAAATATCCCTGCACAGGTATCTGATCTTTCTCTGCTCATATCATGCTTGTTCCTTCTGTCTTTCTTGGTATAGGTGTGGTATGATTTTAGAAGATTTATTCCAATGGAAGGTCCAGGAAAACTGAAGATCCCAGTAACTTTGGAGAGTGTATGTTGTTTGACCTAAAATATTGTTTCCATCTGTTTGATAAATTAAAAAAGTCTCTTGCTCAAGCACTTATAAAATCAGGGAGATACTAGGCAGTAAGCAAAGATGTAAATTTACAGCAAACTAGCTGCTCTGACCTAACTCCCCGTGGTGACACTCCTAATGTGTACTAAGAAGTTGAGATGGCTACCTTGCATTTAGTATACACTAAGGGCTAGATCGATTCTATTCCACCTATAAAGCATGTAAGTAGACTTTAGGTGCCTTAGAGTGACATTATTCCACCCTGTTCATGTCCTGAAACATCTGTTCATGCATACCTTTGTAACATATCATCACCTGACCCTTAAGATGCAGCCACAAAAAACAGCGAGAAGGAGGGCCTACCCATCTTTTACAGTAACTGTTTTTCAAGGACTTGGGCAGGATGGAAGGAATCATATTTAGGCACCTGTGTCCACTTACATGCCTAATCGGTAGACTAGAATCTGACCCTAAAATTGCCCACAGAGGGAACTAGTGCATAGGAACTAATGAAACGTAAGTTCACACTCACCCTACCTTATTTCACAGAAACTTCCCTGGTAAGACCAGCCCTCTGGGAATGTTGGAAGAACAAAAAGTTTTTCAGCAGCATTTTAGGGAGGTGTGAGCTCACTTGGCAACCTGACATTTCTAGGTGGTACTGCTGTGGTCAAAACCACTATGTGCCTATCAACATCAGGCTTAGGTGACAATTAGGCACGTAGAATGATAGCAGCTGTGTTTGCCAGAGCAGGCCAACGCGCGATCTTTGCCTGTATCCTTTGCTCATTCCACCCTGGCTGCTAACGTGTGCTCTTATTTGGGACGGGGACACTGCACTGGGTAACAATAATAATCGAATGTTGTCGGGATGAAGAGAATACAGTAAGATTGCTAGCACTCCTATTGTAAGTAGAACAAAGTTTATCAAGTCGCATGCTCTCTGTTGACATCTGGTAAGAAATATCTGCATTTTTCTCCTCAGTTAAGTTAAAAAATAATGATCAGTGAATGGCACTGAGATTTTCACAGCTGAGGTCTTCTGCCCTGCTTTTGCTGTTGGTAGATTCCAGTGTTCCAGCGTGGGGGAAGCATCATACTCCTAAAGACTGCAGTAGGAAAATCCACTGAATGGATGACGGATATTTCTTATGAACTTCGTGTTGCCCTGGACTCCAAGGTACAATGGGCCTGTGTGTTTTTTATCCACCTGTCCCTTTTCCCTTTTGTCCGTCTCTTCTGGTACTGTCATGTTGCAGCTGCTCCTCACTTTCTGGAATCTTTTCCTCCAGCAGCAGGACCTGCTATATAGGAAACAGGTGGTCTTGTGCTGCCTGCCTCGCCAACACAGCATGGCTTAGGCCAAACACACCTGCTTGAAGAGGAGCCAGTCTCCTCCAATTTAGTGGGGAGAAATTTGGCTGCCTTCTCACTTTCCTGGGCTCTGTTTCTTCAGCTTGGGGACCCTGATGGAGCACAAAGACTGTTCCTTTAGCACAAGATTATAGGATGGCTGCAAAACTAGAGCAGTTCCTGGTTTTCCCTTTGCTTTTCCCCTTCTTTGTCTACCAGCCTCCAGTAACCTGGAAAGAGGAGAAGAAAGTGGAGGATTATGTCAGGCCACAAAGCTCCTCTTCAGTTGCAAAGATAATTTTTTCATGGTGCTGCACAGATAAGGAGTTAAATTTACAAAGCCATAATATCCAGACATTCATAATACTGCATCATTCCTCACTGGAGTGTTTTAGTATTCCAGACCTTTTTAGCACATAGTAAGGTTTTTTGTATTTATAGAGTTGCACAATGAAACTGGAAATAAGCTGCTGTTAACTCTCTTCTACATCTGGTGTTTTCCATAGGACTCTGCAGTAGGTGAGCTCTATCTAGATGATGGGCATTCATTTCAATACCTCCATAAGAAGCAGTTCCTGTACAGGAAATTCACTTTCCATGAGAATGTGCTCTCTTCCAGGTAACAGCAACTGACAGAAGTTTGTTCAGCTTCCCAAACTTATGGGCTACCAATAGCAATGCCTCTTACAGTTCATTTTACTTTGGGTTCAATGAAATTGTTGTAGTTGCCTTCATTAGGCCTGTCACACGACAGCAATCAAACCCAACAGGTTTAGGTATCTAGGGTCCCTACAACAGTGTTTTATGCCACCAAAGGGCACGATAAGGGTATGCAGGTGTAAGCTGGGAGGCGCCTGGGGTAAACCAAGCTTAGGGGTATGTCTGAGCCCCTACCCCTCCTCAGAGCTTAACCACCTATATGGCCTGCCAGGGAAGCACCTTCATCATCTTAGAATTCAGACTGCCCAGAGATACCTAACTGTCAGCACGACTTACTTTGGGACCAAGTATAGCACCTACACTGACCTTCACTGTCAAAGAGGAGGGGGAGCTTGCCTACCTGTTATATAAATTGCCCAGTGATTAGAGCACTTGCCCTCCCCTTGCCCAGGAAAAAGGATACACGGATTCTAGGCCCTCCTCAGTCTAAGGGAACTCAATCTTACATGCCATACCCTCCAGGAGACTGCCCAACCCACCAGTCTACAAAATAGGCTCGTGTGGATACCATCCACTCTTTCTGTTGAAGCTGGGCAACTGGGGCAGCCCAATATACAAGAGGCACAGAACTATAAGGACAGCAAGCAAGAGCCCCTAACTCGGTAGCCTACTGAGGAGGGCACTCCCCTGAATGACTGAATGAGATCTGTTGTCCAGATGGGTAAGTAACATAGTCATGAACCTACTGGTTTTTCCTTGCTTCTTCAAACTTCTCAGACTGAGGTGGAGATCTGTAAAATTTACCATGAAATGGGATTACAGAATGTTTTAGGTAACATTTTCTTAAAAAACACACTTTAACTCCATCATTATAGGTAAGCCTGAATCCCGTTATGAGGTTTTCAGAGAGTACGTTTTGTAGTGTAGATGCACCTTCACCATTTGCATCTACTTAAATCATTTTCAGAGGTAAAACAGGTAACCAAGAGCTTGTGAACTGTGCAAACAGCTTTTTTTTTTGGTTGACGGATAGTTCTGAAAAGTTGAAAAAATATGTAATTTCTTATTGACCTGAAGCAATTTTTTCTATATGTTTAGCATATTAAAGAGTCAGAAAAAAAATCAATGTGCCTTGAAAAAATATTTAATTTCAACATTGTGTTTTCAGTTAATACTTTCTGAAGGATTTTAAAATAAATTTGAAGATTCAAAGAAAAATATTTTGAATCTCAAATTGAAACGTGTCACTTCAAAACACATTAAAATGAAACTTTTTAGCTTTTTTCCCCATTATAAGCATTTTGGCAAAACTGAAATGAATTTACAAAACATTCTGGTGTTAAATCTGTATTTTCTACCCCCCTCCCCCAAACTGGCTAAAATAAATCTCTGTTTTGTGAGATTAATTGATGCATCATAAAGGCAGTTAACAAAGGGGAAAATTATCCCTGCTATAACAGAAATTATATTAGGGGAAAAATAAACTGTTCTGGAAACGTGAAGCAAGAGAATGTAGTTGTGGTTTGTCCCTTAAAGTTTTCATCCTTTGTTGCACTTCCACTGAGAAGCTGCTGTAGTTAAGATATTTTTTTCCAGCTGTGCAGATGGAAATGGACAGTACAGCACCAAATGTGGAGTTGAACGAGTACTAATTCTGGGAGTTAGACAGCAGCCTACATCTGCGATCATCAATTACCAGGGTAACAAACTATATTACATTTCACTTCAATTTTAAAACTCTTGCTGGTGCTCTTTAAAGGCAGCAAATTCAGAGGGCTAAACAGAAAACAATTATAGAATAGGAAGCAACGCTGCAAGCTCTATGGTACTGCTCTGCCAGTAATTGCACCCATGTTCTTGAGGGATCTTCTTGACACATATTTAGTCTTCAGGGCTAATTAATTTATCAGGAAAGTCTCTATAAACCCAAAGCAAAACAAAGTACAGTATAAAGTAAAAAGAGAGGCAGAGAGCGTTTCAGCCTGGGGATCAACCTAGCCTTTGGAGGGCTCCCCTGGCAGCAGACATTTTCTGCCAATCTGAGCACTTATGCTAGGAAAAGTGAAATGGAGGTAGGAATTAACTCTTTGGGTTTTAAAGAGCAGGTGGTGCCTATGTATGGTGCCAGGTAATGGAAGAGGGGTTTTTTTCTGTTCTATAAACCCCTGCCCAGAGGAAGCTGCACTGAAACTTAGGGCTCTGCAGGTCCACAGGAAAATCTGTGTTCCTCTTTCCTTGGCTGCACTTTGGAAACAAGAGATGAAGTTACAGCTTTCTTCCAGCAAAGGGCCCTGCAGCCGAAGTCCCAAAACTGAAAACACTTTGGATTTATTAATAACCTTCAAGTACCTGAACTGTGGTTACAATGAGGATACGGCTAGACTGTTCTCAGCAGTGGCAGATGACAAGACAAGGAGCAATGGTCTCAAGTTGCAGCAAGAAATTGAAGTTAGATATTAGGAAAAACTTTCTTACTAGGATGATAGAAAAGCACTGGAACAGGTTTCCCAGAGAGGTGGTAGAATCTCCATCCCTGGAGGTCTTTAAGACCCAGCTAAACAAAGCCTTCGCTGGGATGATCTAGTTGGGGCTGGTCCTGCTTTGAGCAGGGGATTGGACTAGATGTGACCTCCTGAGGTTCCTTCCAACCTTAATTTTCTATCATTCTAATATAGTAGTTACTGTAACTGTACTTCTGAATTAACAGTTAGGCATTCATGTTCTCAATCATGTAGCAAGAGATACAATTTAAAAGTAAAATAATCCTTTTCTACCCTCCAATAGGATGAGTTAAATCTGTAAATCTTCCTGGCCTGAGTAAGGGTTGTTGGTTGTAGCCGTGTTGATCTAAGGACATAGGCAGACAAGGCTGTTTGGATAAATGTGATATCTTTTATTAGTTGGTCTAATAAAAAATATCACATTTACCCAAACAACCTTGTCTGTCTATGGCCTGAGAAAGGAAATTTGAAGCTAAGAACAAAAATGTTCATGTTTCTCTCTCTCTCACAGGAAGGTCCATAGATTCTGACTATGAAACTACATGAACAGAAAACTATGAACTTACACAAAGACTTTTCTAGGGAAAGCAAGAGGAATTTGCATGGTGACTTTTTCCTCCACCATGGGTGCATCTACACAAGATGCTTACTGTGCATTAGCCTAATAACACTGCACAGTAGTGTCACGGCAAAAACCATGCTAATAGCCTACTGCACAGTGTTATTAGGCTAATGCGCAGTAAGCATCACTAAATAACCATTCACTGGTACTACTGTGCAGAAACTCTAGGTACTGCGCATTTATTTAGTACTTTATTAAGGAAGTACTAAACTAGATGTGCTGTAACTAAGGTGTATTAATGAATGTATAAATGCACCCACTGCTGTCCAGAAACCTCATCTTTCTTCCCCTTTAGAAGTTATGTTGGTATTAACATGCTGCCTGCACCTGTTCACCTCTGAAGCACATAAAGCAAAAAAGTTAACACTGTAAAAATTATTAACTTCTACAGAAGAGTGCCAGCATAAACATTTAGTAGTAGCTTCCCCTTGAGAGACACATAGAACCCGAGTATGTTTGCAGGCTAGAAGAAAAGAAGTAATAGTACCTTCAGCTCTTGTAAAGTCTTTTGAGCAGAGCTTATTGGCCAGCTTTGGCCATAATTGCTCCCCTCTTATCATGCCATTGTCTACTGATGGAGGGAGTATTCTGATCCAATGTAAGTAAAAGAAATAAGATAGTCGTATACAATTTTCTTTGGAAAAATGTTAATTAGAATGCATAGTAAATTCTCTTTTATGCTGTTGAAATTTAGATGGAAAAAACAAAGACATTATTTTCACCTATGATGACAAGACCTCCACATTGACTCTGGAAAAATTATTATTAAATGTTGGCACTAACTGGGAGATTTGCCTCAAGTGAGAGGAGGAGCCACATCTTCAAAGAACTTGAGAATGTTTAAAGAAGGTGGTATTGGAGGACTTAAGTTGCTCATGAGTCAAGCTGTCTTGAAGCATGCGGCTAACCCAGGCTGATCTTCTATAATATTTTCTTTTGGAGGGAAAAAACAAACAAAAATATTTTAGTTAGATTTGAAAATCTCATCCCAAGTCAGTAAATGGCAAAACTTACAGCAAATAAGCCTTGAAAGGGGCTCATCACTGTCCTGCCCAGGCTGGCTTCACTTTGACAAACAAAGTACATTTTGTACTGGGTTAAGTTGTGCCCGCGTTTGAAGAAGTAACCTGAATGAGTGTGATTACTCTTATTACAAACAGCCCCCTCCCCCCTCCAACCCTTTTCCATCTTCCTAGGACAAGGAAAGGCCGTTCAGTCTGTCTAAAGGCCAGCTGCTGCAACAGTGAATAAAAGAGGATAATATGGGAGATGGGAAAACACTTTAAATGTTCACTCCTGGACTTCCAAACATTTGAAATGTTAAAAGGTCCACATTTTTGTACAGAATGACATCAGTTTGGGGCATTAGCTCAACCTCCAGAAAACACTTAAAATAATAATTCTTCTTTCTCTCTCCTGTCCCCAGATTTTTTTTGTAAAGAGTAAAGAGAGTTTCACTCTGAAGAGTGTGGGTGGTGAAATGCAGAGAAAAATGATCTCCAGCTCTTTCCACACTGAAGAGGAAATGCCACTAGAGCTGTATGCTGTGCCCAGTAATCCCACACAGTGCTGTCAGTCATTTCCACCTGCTGCTGCTTATTCTCTGGGGATTTCTGGGGGTGCCAAATTTCAGTTAAATCATGCTCTGACCATTACATTTTGACCTACTGAGTATGATTGATTTAGGCCAACTCATTCTTTACGGGAATCAAGTATTCTCTCCCCTTTATTTTGTGGAATTATATTTCCTTTCACATGCACCCTTACAATCACATGCTCCTTCTAGCAGATGTGATTGGCAAATTTTCCTCAAAACACTCAAGGGGCAGAAACCTGAAAATTCCAATTCTCAGGACATTTGAGCAAATCTCTGATGGGTGACCTCAGATGAATCCTTTGCTTCCTTGAGCTATGTAAGATGGTGAGCTACTTACCAACCTAGGAGGGGCTGACCTCTCTGCCTCCCTTTCCAACCACCCAAAACTCAGATCAAACCCTTTTCCTCAAAGCTTAATTTATCATTAAAACAAGCCAAAAAAATGCCTTGGCAAAAGCAGGTGAGAGCAGCAGATAGACTTTCCTCAAGAGCTCACATGATCCCTCTGGCTCTCTCAGATTTGATCACTTCCCAGTTGGGTCTGATAACTGAACAGGACTGATAGACCTCACTGATGTGAATCTTCCAAAGGGCATAAATTACCCAAATATTGTCTTTAGTTATGCCAGTGCATGTGCATCAAAGAAGGACAAACTAAGCAGACTAATAAAATCATCTCCCAACTCCAGAAATGGGGTAAAAAGCAAATGCCCTCTTCTACTAAGATCTTTTTCTGCACCTGATGTCTCTCCTCTTCTGTTGATTGTCTATGGTGTAAATCCACCGATTGCAATGGAATAAATATGGATTATCAGCACATGTGAAAGGACAATCAGGTCTTAGCTTTCTATTGTAACCCGGGCAGTACTCGAAGAGGTACCCCCTCTCCCGTTGAAGGGATCAAAGCAGGTACACAAGCACTGTGGGAAGTGTAGGGACTCTCCTCCCCCTATAGAGCAGAGCCAGACCACCAATGGGGACTTAACCATATACCTTTTAATACTGGGAACATTACAGGCATAAATCAGAGGGTACAGTGGACACTACAATGTCCCAAGGGGGCAGGATTCAACAGAGGTTAGACACTTACAATCATTGACAAAAAAACAGGGTTAACAAAATATAAAACACAAACAGCAGAACAAACAATACGGGTTGGTGAAATATAAAAAAGGCACAAAATGCAAGATGTCAAATGACAAGGAAATATAGGGCCTTGGTACCTGGAGGGGGAAAACACAATGGCCCCTTTCCACTGCAAGAAGATTTGCTTCTTGTTAGCTCACTCACCCCAAGTCACCTCAGCTGGGACTTGACCCCAGATCTCCCACATGGCAGATAGGAACACTACCACACAGCCACCACTGGTGGCACTGTTCTAGTCTGCTAGGGGTCTTGACCTTCCCAGAGCCCGGCCTCATGTTGAGCTGCCTAGCCTCTGATTGGAGGAGCTGGAAGCAGAGTTGGGAACCTCCCGGATCACTGCTCAGATCCTTGCTGGAGCTTGGGAGCCTCTCCTGCTGGCTGCAGCCTCTCCCAGGGGATCCTGGAACCCAGTGGGGAGCCTCTCTTGCTGGCCACACGCTGCGCTGCTGAGGGTCCCACTGCTGCCTGCAGGTCCTGCTCCTTCAGGCTCTTCCAGGGCACTGCTCCTACCCCACTGGCTTAGCTCTTGCCAGCTCTGTGAAGCTCCTTCCTTGTTGTCCCTCACTGGTCTCTCCTGAGTCAGCCCATGCTGCCCCTTTTATCCCCCTCCAGGTGACCCAAGGGGCCAGTCAGGGGTCACGGGGGGGGTGGGAGTGAGTCTCTGGGGCCTGATTGGTGTGGAAAGGGAATCCCAAGTCCTTCAATCATCTTTTACCCCTTCAAAACCCCTGGGCCAGGTCACTGCCAGCCAGCCTGTCACACTATTATGTTGTGGGATTTATATAAAACTCTCTCTGAAGATATTTATTATTAGTTTCTGCTTCTGAAGATAAAGGTGCTGCTGGTGGTGTGCAGTTAATGTGCCATTAGGATGCTACAAACATTTTATCTTGATTTTGTGAATTGTGAAGGTAGAAATAATACCATAACAATGATTGTTTTCATCATGAAATGAGTCACGTGCCTTATTTCTTCCAACTTTAAGCATCTTTTAAAATGTTCCAGTTAAAGGTTTACTGGGGGCTATACCTATCTATTTATGTCTATGCTGTGTCCTGTGCCAGCAAGTCCAGGAATCTAGTAAAGTGATTTAGGGTCTGATTTTGAAAGGATTTTAGGTATGTAAGTTCTCTAGGAATTAGGTGCCTAAATACTTTGAAACCCTTGTTCTTAAAAGTAACTAACTCTTTAGGTCTGAGAGCTTAGCTGTCTCGTAGTTGCAGAAGAAACATTCATATTACTTTTATAGCAACTTTTATTATTTTCCATATATTAATGCAATAAGTTGGGCAAGTCCAATAATAAACATGTTTACAAGCTGAACCATTTGTTATAACTAGAGATGAATAAAAATAATTCAGATAGGAAAATATTGCATGATTGGAGATGAAATAATGAAAATTATATAGAAATAATATTATCAGTATATCTGATTTAGTTAGTTCTTTGCCTAAGCAGTATATTTATTTTATTCTGCCTGATTTTTTTAATATATGTATATCGGAACATGCTCTATATTTTTCCAAGGGACAGATATAATATTGAATTATTTCTCTTTGCAAAGATAATCCACTGTTAAAGCTTACTTTGTTCCAATTTGGCAAAGTCTTTCTTATCTAAATTAAAAGTAGCCACAGGGCATCCATTCACCCATGTAGTAAATATTGTTCCTTTTTTTTAAAGACAGAGAGAGAGAGAGCAAGAGAGAGAGAGAGAAGGAAATAGAAAATGAGACCCTCCCCTATAAACAATACTTGTTTGTCCTCAAAAATGCCATGAGACTAGCTTTACAAAGGAACCTGCCTATTGAAAAAAACAGCAGAGAAAGAGTGCACTCCTGAAAAGATCTAACAGGAAATACTTCTGCTAACCCATGCAAAACAGGCTGGCATTAGTAGAAAAAAATTATGTCCACATGCAATGATATGTCTGCTCATTACTACAGTCTACTAAACCTCAGTTTAGCTACTGGCTCTCCCAAGAACCAAACAACCTGTGGGGACATTTCCACAAGTGGAATTAACCTTCTGCAAAACTGTATTTTCCCTATTGTGGAAAGTACCCTGGATTGTGTCATCCTATGACATCACAGCTACAATTGGTTTCAATGAGATGGTTGCTAGGAGATTGGGCCAGCGAATTTTACTCAGAAGGGATATTTGTCAAAGATAATTAAAATACGAGTATGTTTCTGTGCTGTATGCCCCTATAGTTCAGTTAATGAAGGCACTCAGCACATGGGAACAATTAATTCCATATCAACTTCCTTGTTGACTTCTTAAAGTTAATGGCTTTTTAGTTTGATCCTTATTCATATTTGCATATAAAATTCCCCTAAATGTTTCAAAAAATATTTAAATGCTTTTGAAACATGTCAGCATACAGAGGACACTTGAAAGTTCAGTTAATTCCAGACCTCTGACACGTGCAATCATGATACAGCAGTGATTTCAGCAGACCAATGAGCTCACCAAGTTTCACATTTGTGTCTAGTTTTTCTTTTGCATTTCTGTCAGGACACAGCTCTGTGTGTGAGCTAATAAAAGGAACTCTGTCAAGGGAAAATGAAAACTAAATGCAAGCATGCACACACACAATCATTGCATTTCAAACAATAAGTGATGCCAGCTGTTTGACTGTTCTGACCCACTTTTGAGGAGGAGGAGGTTTCTGGCTGAGATGCAGGACCTCCACTTGATT